TGGACGCTTGTGTCGTAGCTGGGAACACCTTCTTTTCCTTTCCTTTCTTCTTTTTCTCTCTTCTCTTCTCTCCCTACCCCTTCCTCCTGTCGGGACCTTAGAGTGGGACGCTACTAGGGGCTCCTGGCCTTACTACTAGGTGCAAGGACGCTACTAGGTAAGAGCGCCTCCCCGTGTGTGTGTGTGTGTGTGCCCCTTGTAGTCACTGGGATTCTTTTTGAACTGTTTTGAGCAGGGGGCACAGGAGGCCCATGGATACGGTGAGGATATGCAGCCTGATCAGCTGCACGTACCTGCTGTTTGAGCTTTTGAACAAGCTTTGACTCCAATTTCCAGTAAAGTGCTAATGAGCTTGGCAGACATGAGCGTACGACGTCATCTCGACCTGCTCGTCGCTTTCGGTCTTGAGCTTTTGGCCCTTTCTCCTCTTGAAGACCTCCAGGCTTCAGGGTTCTCCTGGACTTTTCAGGATTTGGTTTCTTAGGCTGGCGTGTGGCCCCGCTGTCAAGTCAGTACACAAAATCATAAGTGTGTGTCACACTCTGTTCCTAAGAGTTTTCCACAAGCCGGGGACCAGGCAGGATGCATCGTCGCCTGGTCAACGAAGCTGGCGATGCATCCGAGGATATGGAAATGGGACGCCGTTTCCACAAAGCTAAAAACTGTTGTTTACGCTGTGACTCCACTTTTCCTTTTTTGTTTCCATGGTGGTTCTTCGCATGATGTCCCCCAAAACAGGTTTCCTTAGCTTTGGTAAAGTGCTAGTGAGTTTGTTAAACAGTTCTGTTCTTCGGACCCTTTCGCCTTACCGTTCTTGCAGTAAAGTGCTAATGCAGTAACTAGCTTCCGCAGTCACGCAACACCTTTGTTAAACATCTTCAAGTTTTCGGACTCACTCGCCTTTCGGTTCCTTCACCCTTTTCGACCTGGGAATAGAGTTAACTGCAAACCCATTGTCGAAGTGTGTGCCGCTGTGCCGTCCCACTTGGGTGCACAGTGTGATCCTCCGCAAGGAGGCGCCGTTCTCACTCCGGACTACCGTGTAACTGACTCAACGGTTTTCTGCGTGCGTTGGATTATCTTAACCGACTTTCGTTTCACTACTGTATTCTCCAAATCAATGCCGCCGGGCTTCACGGAAATTCCAAGCTGCCGGGCATCGGAGAATAAACCACGACGTGTTCTCTACCCCAAACACCCCAACCCCCCTCCCTCTAATTAGGGTAACAGAGGGAAATGGTACTCGACACACTTGTGTGTCGGTGCCTTTCCCTCTGTTGTCCCTTTTCTAGTCTACTCTACCCGGGCGGTGTAAGACAAAAGTCCCGCTCCCTAACTAGTGCACCTAATTCACTTCGTCTAAGTACTCAGTAATTCTAGAGTGCTAGGTATTCATATACACACACACACGGATACACACATGTACATACACCTCCCCCCACCCCCACTTTCCTTCTTGCGCTTTTTGTCGTTTCTTGGGCTTTCTCTCAGGCTTTTTAGGTTGTTCTTCAGGCTCGTTTCCCTACCCCAGTCAAGGGCTAAGTATTCACTTTTTGCTACTCCTATCTTTCTCTCTTGCCCTTTTAGCGCTGCTCTTTCTGTTTTTCTTTCTCTTGTTTCTAAAACTTTTCAAGTGCCTATTTAGGTCCTCCGCGTGAGCGCCGCAAAGCGGCCGAGTGTGTGTGTCACACTCTGTTCCTAAGAGTTTTCCACAAGCAGGGGACCAGGCAGGATGCATCGTCGCCTGGTCAACGAAGCTGGCGATGCATCCGAGGATATGGAAATGGGACGCCATCTCCACAAGCTAAAAACTGTTGTTTACGCTGTGACTCCACTTTTCCTTTTTTGTTTCCATGGTGGTTCTTCGCATGATATCCCCCAAAACAGGTTTCCTTAGCTTTGGTAAAGTGCTAGTGAATTTGTTAAACAGTTCTGTTCTTCGGGCCCTTTCGCCTTACCGTTCTTGCAGTAAAGTGCTAATGCAGTAACTAGCTTCCGCAGTCACGCAACACCTTTGTTAAACATCTTCAAGTTTTCGGACTCACTCGCCTTTCCGTTCCTTCACCCTTTTCGACCTGGGAATAGAGTTAACTGCAAACCCATTGTCAAAGTGTGTGTCTGAAGGTTTGTGATATAGAATTTCTGTGGAAGGCTAGATCTGGTTTTTGAGCATGATAAATTTGCTGACTTCGAACGGCTTGAACCAATGAACCGTGCCGCGATCGGAGCCATGCCGCCTCTGCGGGGTCGAACCAACCCCCCTCTCTGCCTCGAACAGCGCTTAAAGACCTGCAGCCACTGAGCTGCTGAAACCATGAAAGAACATACATAGGCGGAACCTTCATTGAAATGCTGAAAATGGGCCATCTCCTCGATCAAAACGGCAGACCCGTCCATTTCAGCGAAATCTTGGTATCTCGGGGCTGCGGTTGTTCTCCAGGCTTTGGAAGAGGTCGATGCCGACCAGGATGGAGAGATCAACTATGCAGAGTTCGTAAAGCTGATGAAGTCATAGTCATAGGGCCGCAGGGGATTTGACTTCGGAATTTTATCAAGTGGCAAGCGATTGCCATAGTTTCGACATGTTTCGACACTTCAAGAGCTTGGATTCAGGAGCTGAAACTTGCAAGCTAGCTTGGTTTCGGCTCAACTGATGACAGTGGGACCAGCTCGGTTTTGAGTCGATGGACTCGAAGTTTGTGATCACCCGTGGAGAAAGGTGCCACCGTGCTGTGAGTTTCAGATGCCCGAGACACAATTTGTAGCTGTTAAAAGCAATCAGAAATTGATGTCCACGTGGGTTAGTAGATTCGGTTAGTAGATTCTCATCTGGCAGTGAGGCGGGTCCTCCGTTTCGCTTTCAGGGGTCCTCAGTTTCACTTGAAACACAACATTGATTCGTTGATCACCACATTCCCGATCTCGCTCAGCAGGCATTCCTTACTTTAATACCACTACATATACTATTTATGAGGCTTACGCCTGACAGCCCGGCGCCGGCCTATTTGGGTTTGGGTATGCGCAGGGCTGGGTCCTCTCTCTCTCTCTGTCTTTCTCTTTCTCTTTCTCTTTCTCTTTCTCTTTCTCTTTCTCTTTCTCTTTCTCTCTCTCTCTCTCTCTTTGAGACTTGGTGGGGCCTATATTGAGCAAAGTTAAGCTATCTGGCGCGCATCTTGGTCCTAGGTTGGGCCAAGTTGAGCTGATGTGGTCTATGTTGGGCGCATCTTGGGCCCAAGTTGAGCCTATGTTGGGATTAGGTCGGCCTATGTTAGGCCTATGTTGGCCAAGGTTGGGCCTATGTTGGCGTATGTTGGCCCCATGTTGGCCTATGTTGGCCCTATGTTGAGCCATCTTGGAGGCTATGTTGGGCATATGTTGGCTATCTTGGGCCTATGTTGGGGATATGTTAGGCAACTTATGTGCCCAACACCCACGAAATGTCGATTAAGCTTGTCCGCGCGGCGCGCATAACCGACACCACCGGCGCCCTGTTAGGCGGAAGTCGTGGACGCCGAAAGCCACGAAACACTGTAAAGCACGATGTTTTCGAACATTTATTGAACATCCTGCGCAAGATACATATACATCTGTCGACCGGATTCGGGCGGGGGTCGACCGGGGGTCGGGCGGGGGTATCCCCGCGGTCCAACAAAAGGGTCGGCGGCAGGGGCGGCGAGCGTATATAACCTTCGGTTACCAACCGAAGGCCTCCGGCAAGGACACGGGCCCGTGGCCGGCGCCCGGATTTACCAGGCTACCGCCTGCAGCCGCCGACCCCCAAGGGATAGAACCTTAGCGCTAGCCTTGCTCACTGTTGATGTTAGCCTAGCCTTAGCGTTAGACTTAGCCTTAGCCTTAGACCGCCCCCGGGTAGGAGTTCCCCATTTTTTCCATGGTTGTAGAATTATCTAGCATGTCCGCTTGCATGTAGGTTCCCTGATTTGCTCAAAAATTGATGAACTTATTTTTAACCCCGGCCAATGCCCTGGAATTTTCCCAGGAATGCGCTAGGCTTTGTCTAGATTTTGTGCTGGACGAGGTCCAGCCAGTGCCCGCGGTAACGCGAAAGGCCCTGGTAAGATTTTCGCATGCCTGTCAGGCGCCCGTGTCTGCGCCATGTGGCGTGTTGGTTCTAGGACGGAGCAGCGCAAACGGAAGCTCGGGGAGGTGATGGCGAGCTTCTCGCGCCAGCCAGGGAAGAGACCGTAGCCATGTACACGCGGGCGGCACGCGCGCGTGGCCGAATGTCTGCAGTGCGGTAGGCCGGGGGGGGAGGGGGGGACGGAAGGGTGTGGAAGGGTAGGGTTTCCTGGAGCACCCCTTGAGCCAAATGCAGGAGTCGAGAAGAGCCCCCGTCACCCAAGTTGTCGGGTGAGAGGCGGCCGGTGTTTGTGTTGTGCGTTACCTGCGGGAGAAGGGCGCTGCCCATGGTGTCTGCTAGGGCGCGTCAGCCAGCGAGGGCGTTGCCCATGCCCTTATGCAGGCCACGGAAAACTGCTCGGTGTAGTTGTCGTGAGCGGAAAACGCCGGCGCGCAGTGTTTTGGGAGGCTGGCGGAAGCGGACGGCTGCTGGAGCTGGACGAGGCGCGCAAGGGATGTGTAGTGGAGTGTGGAGTGAAGCTAGGGAATGCGAGCGCCGGGGTGCGAGGAGCGGGTTTAGCGCGGGCGGAGCGTGAGTTGGGCGTTGCCGGCAGCACTTTTGGCTGGAGAAGTGTGGTTGTGATGGTTGCGCCGAGGAGACGATGCTGTACTGTGTCCAGATCTGCTACAATTCAGCCGCGAGAGTGGCCTCCATGAAATATACATCAGCTCGGGCGATGGGATATATGAGCCGCCAGCAGCGGCAAGTGGGGCTCACGACGCGCTGGAGCAGGACGCTGGCAGTGGAGCGGGATCGTGGCCTGGAATGTGGAGGAGGTGGCAGTGTCTAGGGCGCTGCCCATGGCCGCTGCAGGAGTGGGCTAGGGGCAGAGGACGCAGACCTGCCCCCAGGCGGAGGCATTCGCTGCTGTCGGAATCCTGGGGGCGCTTTGTCGTCCAGGAGCTGCGGGGCCAGGCGGGTGCTTCCCATGGAGCAGCACACTAGAGGAGCTGGAATGATAGATGCTCTGTCGAGGGCCGTGTCTATAGGGTATGGTCCACCGCAGCAGGGTTGAGCCAGACAAAAAAAGGAAGCTGGGCGGCGGGAGCCGCGGCGCAGGGCCGTGCCCATGGTATAGGGTACAATTCAGGTGCTGTTCTAAGAATTTTCTAGCATTTCCTCTTGTTTTTAGGTTCCCAGATTTCCTCCAAAAATTGTTAACCTTTTGCCAACCTATTTTGTGCCAGTGTTCCCGGCCAATGCCCGTCATTTTTCCTAGGAATGCTCTTGGTGACCACCAGGGGTAGGTTTTGTGACAAAGCTACGCTGCCGCACTGCCCGACGTACGCCATCCGTGCATAGCTGCTCCTGGAAGCCCCCCGGACCACGTCGTCTCGCGCGACGCAGTCGCCAAAGAAAACGCCTGCGAGAAAAAAGACCACGGAAGGGAGCTGCTGGGCTAGCTGTGCGTGGGTGGACCGCGGGTTTTTTGTCCCAGCTTGACCATCGGACATCATCTTCTCTTGCATGAACCCCGTGATGCGGAGTCCTCCTCCCCATAAAGGATATCATTGCCCAAGAATTTAGACCCAACCCTTCACCACCAAAGCAGGTACCCAAAAAGTCGACTTTTTGGGTACCTCCTAGGTTTACCATCGGACGTCATCTCTTGCATGAACCCCGTAATGTCCCCATAAATGACCCAACCCAGCACCACCAAAGCAGGTACCCAAAAAGTCGACTTTTTGGGTACCTCCCGATTTACCATCGGACGTCAGCTCTTGCATGAACCCCGTGACGCGTTGGGTTCTGCGGCCTGTGGGACCGCAGGGCGCTGCCCATGGTCTCGAGTACATTCAAGTGCGACAAGTGTCGGCGCCCGGACTTGTGCTGAATCGATCGGTTTCTCCCGGCGACCCAACCCACCACCAAAGCAGGTACTCAAAAAGTCGACTCAGCGCCCGGACTCGTGCTGAATCGATCGGTTTCTCCCGATGACCCAACCCATCATCACCAAAGCAGGTATGCAAAAAGTCGACTTTTTGGGTACCTCCCAGATTTACCATCGGACGTCATCGCTTGCATGAACCCCGTGATGCTGAACCCTTCTCCCCATAGAGGATATGATTGCCTAAGAGTTCAGACCCATCACCACCACAGCAGGTACCCAAAAAGTCGACTTTTTGGGTACCTCCCAGATTTACCATACGTGATCTCTTGCATGAACGCAGGTACCCAAAAAGTCGACTTTTTGGGTACCTGCTGTGGTGGTGATGGGTCTGAAAGGGTACCTCCCAGATTTACCATACGTGATCTCTTGCATGAACCCCGTGGTGATGATGATGCGTTCCTCACCGACGAGTCCGCGTCTATATCCTGCTGTCCAGGCACACTCTATCGTCGAGGACCCCTCGCAAGCCAAACTGCAAAGGTGGGTTTCACGATAGAGGACTGTCTCTGTTTTCTCACGATCATCCTGTCGTTGTCTAAGGGGCCCCGTGTGTGGCCGGGAACACCGGCACAATAGCCAATGGTTAACAATTTTTGGTGCAAATCTGGGAACCTAAGTCAAGAGGACACGCAAGAAAATTTTTGGAAAAGCACCCTCCCGAACAAACAAAGCCTAGAGCATTCCTAACATCTAGTCGAAAACGTAACAAAATCTAAGTGCGGCCAAGAGTATTCCTAGGAAAAATCAAATGCATTGGCCGGGAACTAGCAAAAGGTTACCAATTTTGAGGGGAAATCTGGGAACCTAAAAACAAGAGGAAGCGCGAGAAAATTCTTGGAAAAGCAGCCTACAGCATTCCTAGGAAAATGCCAGAAAAGCCTTTGAACATCTCATAAACCAACAGTAAACGTGACAAAATCTACGAAAAAGCAAGGGCATTGGCCGGGACCATGCCGCGACCAGCCCGGGATTCGAGCCCAGGACCATTTTGGACCGTGCTTATTTTCCCGCGCGGGTTGAGAGGGTGCCCCAAGATGTAAATCAATTGGGATGGCAGAATCTTGGACAATCCACGTCGCAATCAGCGAAATTTCCTGGAGAATTCCGGGCCGGATTTCGTCACTGCAACAAGGGTCCGGAGGGGTAGGGGAGGTAAGGTCTAGGTCTAAGGCTAAGGACTAGGTCTAAGGCTAAGGACTAAGGCTAAGGCTAAGGCTTAAGGCTAAGGCTAACATCGACAGTCACGCCTCACCCCACGGTGTGGGGTCGGCGGATTTGGCATTCATACTCACTCGTGGTGTTCGGACCAAGAACACACATCGAAAGGTTGCTCTTATGTGGACTTTGATGCGGGTTGTCCCCTTTGGGCTCAGTAAAAGCTGTTACGGGTGCGCGTCCCAACGTCATTCCATTCATTTTTCTGTCCCAGTTTGGGGAGACTCTCAATCATGGCCACACCAAGGTTGGCTGCATCCGTCTGCACGTGAAGCATCAGCGCGCAGACACCTACTGTGTCACATCGTCGCGGACCGAAGAAAGTGGCCAGACCAGGTCAGACCGCAGCAGAGGGACTGAGGTCTCAAGGTGTTGCAGGGGTTTCTTTTAAGTTCAACTGATATACGATATTGTATTAAGTTATATATATATAACACATATTGGAGACCAAGACGTGCAAAAGGACTCAGCACAGATGGATGGGAACACTATGAGCATGTGAGTACGGCTGGAGAGCAAGGCTAGGATTTCTACCATCAGTTCGGGACGACTTAGAGCATTGGACTCTGCAGGTCAAGCCTTTGGTCGTTCAATGGTGCAAGTCGTAAACGGATACTGGGCACGAGCAGCACCATTTTGATCATGTGGTCATGGTCACCTGGTCGGTCGCCCGGTTTGAGAAAAACCCGTAGTGGTCGAACGCGTTTGGGAACGCGGACCTGCGCGACTGGCAAGCAGGTGGTGCTGCAGCTTCTTGCTGGATCAAAGGATTGAAGTCTCCAGTGCCCACATGTGTCAACCGGGGGATGAGCCCCTGAGCCGACGGATGAGTGACCCGAATTCGGGGGCCAATCGTCGTAGGAAGATGCGAAGTTTCATTGGAGACAGACATCCTAGCTAGCGAGGAGAGAGCAGGAAATCCTAGCTAGGAAATCTACATCATCCAGTTTTTCGAAAATCAGAGAGCTTTTGAACACAGAACACCGGTGGCACCTTCACGTCCGGACGCGTCATGGACCAGGCCGCCGTCGCGTCGCGTCGGTCTGTGGGGCAGATGGGGTGTTTCGGCACCTGGGGTCGGTGAGCAAGGTGTGTGTGAGCAGCAGAGACGATGAGACCTGTTCCTGAAATTCTTGGATGTTCTAGTGGATGTTCTTGATTTTCTCAACAGATGCTTACTTAATTAGACCTTCTACCGCCACCAGTTCTTCTACCGGTCTAAAAAGCTACGGTTTGGGGGACACGCCACGCAGCACCTGTGTGTCGACCCCAAAGATCTTCCGTCGATCATCTCCGATTTCCCAGCCGTCTTCGCGTTTCAGTTTTCCGGTCCTGACTTCTGGTCAGTCGATGGGACCAGGAAACTTCGGCCTTTCTTAAAAACGTGCTGAAACACTTTTGTGATGGCACGTGCCTGAAGTCCTAATTGGAAGCCCACGATGTATCCAGGTTTTGCGACGGTGCGACATGTGCGTCATAACACCAACCGGACCGGTCACTACTTTCCAGACCGAACCTCAAGCCTGGTGACAGCAGGTGATTGTAGTGTGTCAGCTCGCTTGGGCGCTTTCCAAAGAGAGCCGCCCCCGCCATGCCGACGCCGCTGCCATGGATCTCTCCACAAGTCTTCGCTGCCCAGGTTCCGATCCTGCGTCAGATCTCCCTGCACGCACAGAATGATGTGTCTTTGGCCGTGCTGGAACACAACAAGGACGGAAAACTCTGTAGGACAATGAAGCACAACGGATTTTGGCTTTGCATGGCCACCTTGACTAGGCGGATCAACTCAGACATAGATTGCTTTGCCAATGCTCAGATCATTCGTTTCAGAACAGAATCCAATGTTGGAACGCGTGAGAATAATCTCGTTTTGGAATGCGCTGCATCCATAGGAAAAGGCCAAAGGTTTCATCATTTTTTGTCACTGTTTCTTTTCCTCATCGTCGAGGTATTTCAATGGTTTGGTTTGGTTTCTGAGTTGTCTCTGTGATCTGTCACTTGTTTACAAATTACACATTTATATAAAGATGTTTCTATTTATATTCATTTGTGTGTGTGTTTTCTTCTATGTCTGTTACTTTTTAAAGAAATCTTTTGGTGTTTTTTCTTGTCTCCTGTTTTGTTTCCTTGGCGGTTCTGTCTTTTTTGATTCCGTGTGATGTCCAATTGTTTGTATATATTATTGTTGTTTCTTCTCTCCTGTTTTTTTCCTTGGTGTTTTATCTTTTTGTGGTTTTACCTTTGACAGTGAGCCACCAGAGGGTAGAATTAGAGGAGAGAGGAGAGCCATTCCAACGCAGCATCCCTTGTGTTGGAAGAAAGGAGCCGGAGGGTCAAATTTAGAGATAACTGGATCCATTCCAACGTAGCATACTTTTTCGTGACGAAAAAGGGCCGACTTGAGCCTGTGTGTCTGTGTTCCAAGTTGAGTCTAATCGCCTGTTTCGAAATGAGTCTAATCGCACACTTTTGTGCTCCAAATTGAATTTAAGCCGCATCCCAGAACCAGCGACCGCTCCAGGAGAAGCCTGTGCAACTGTCATATGCCGAGCTGAAACGTGCGGTGCTAAGACCGGGTGAAGTGGTCAAGGGTGAACAAAGTACAACATGTAGAGTGCACATACCAGCAGCTTCCGCTGGTTGGGCCCAAAGCCACACTTGTACTGGGTCTCCAGGCAGGGCGCCCATTGGAAGCGTTACCAGCAAGGTAATGACAGGAATGATGTACGCCAGCATAGACCCCAGATAGCATTGGAATCATTGCATTCGTTACCTGAAGGGGCATCCGCTTATATCAGGGCACGATGAGAGACACTGTCAAATGGAGTCATCATCTTCAGGTTGCCACCAAGAAGGCATGTACTTAAGTGACAAGGTTGATCTGCCTTTTCACACACCTTGTGATAAATCGTGGCTAGTTCGCTCGCGTTTCGCAGCACTTCTGAAAACATCACATGGACAGAAACATATGCACCCAAGCTCCCAAGTGCACACAGCAGTGGCACGAAGCACTTGAAGTAAGAACCCCAATAGCTTACGCTATCTATCTGGGGAAAAACCAGAAACCTTAGATAATCCTATCTTCACAGCTGGCCGGTGCGTCAAGATGCCCACCATCCAAGTTCCTTCGTCCACCATGCAGGCGGTTCTTTTCGACAACGCTGGCCGTCTCCGAACCTTGCAGGTCTGACAGCTGTCCACTCTCCACTGACAGCTGAGGCTGTGTGGTGTTCTTGTCTGCCAGCCTCAAGAAGATCTTGGATGCCTCCGATGGACCAAGGCCCGGAAGGACACCCGCAAGCACTTATTTTTCTGGACTGGTCGAAGCAAAGAAAGGCCAAAAAGGAATATAGACGAAACTGAATAGGTTTAGTCCAAGAAGTCTTGGACTGCCCAAGCCGGATTTTGTGCATGGTAACATTAGGCAGCAGTTTGAGCATGGTTGCATTTTGGGAGTTGCAGTCCAAGAATGTCTGCGAGGTATCAGAAGTATTTGCTGAACTTGAGCTGATGCACTGGCTAGTATAGTCAAAAGAAGACTGGGGCCCCTCCAGAGGGAAGTCGCGAGTTCCCATCCCACCTTTCGGGTAAAAATGGTGACCCCCAGCAGCTAGAAGGTTGATGACACCTACAAGGATTATCAAATGTTATCAAGGCAAAAGTGGAGTATTCTTTCTTTGTTTGTTGATTTTTCATTATTTTTCAATCTTCTTTGACGGATGGTGAGCTTTTGTGAGCTTGCTCTGCCACTATAAACAGGTCTTTTCCACCGATCATGCCAGCCAGTTCAGCCGAGCCACTCCCAGGCACGTGGCCTTCTTCATCAACCCGTCAGCAGCGCCGGGAGCTTAGATGATGCCCAGCGCCAGCCCGGTGGTGCTTACTCGGATGGGAGCAAGGGAAGAAAACGCTGGTGGTTTCCCACTTGGGCGCCCAAAAGGAGGTCGAGATGAACATGAGACGAACCACGATCAGTTGAGGTACCATGTTGTTTTGGGTCCCAGCGATACACTTCGCAGTCTCCCGGCTCCCGACTCACCAGAGCTGGAGGTATGTCGTCACGGAGCTGTCGATTTGGGCTGCGGCCGGTGTGTGCGTGCGCCACGGACGGAGCCGCCTGGGCCACGTCATTCGTCCGGTCATGGGCGGAGCGGTTTGGGGGTTCTCAGGGGCGGAGTTCGGGATTCATCACCACATGCAAATGTCATAATAATTAGGTCATAGGGCAGAACAGAGCCACATTTGACGGACATGGCCGACATCTTCCGCATCCCACGACGGCCAGCGGCTCTCAGGGGCACCAGGAGACGGAAGCAACAGCTGAAAGAAGAACATCAGAGGCCCTGAGGCCCTGAGGCCCTGTGTTTGGGGATTGCAGGTGATTGCAGGTGATTTCAGGATGTAGATCGTGCTCACATTTTCAGGATGTAGACTCAATCTTCCAAATGAAGATGTTCCACCTCGGATGTTCCCTGGCCTTTAGTCGGTCCATGGAAACTTGTTCGCATGGCTCTCGGCCATCTGCCATGGGCCGCTCTTTAGGTGGAGGCACATACGAAGGGGGAGGAACAAGAGAGATGTGACGGACCTGAAAAAGGTCACCCTGAAAAAAGAAGGCCAGAGATACACATGTACATGAAGGTACTGGAACCAGTGATGGCAGGTTGCTTCAATGGAACTAGACGAAGCGGACATTTGGATTGCCTTCCATCTTTGTTCTGATTGATTAGGAATGCTTGGAATGTCTAGGTTGCCAATCAATACGAAAAATGCGAATGTAGCTTGAAGGAGATCATGGTCAGGGTAAACAGGAGTTTTCATTGATTTTAAGGCTGAAATTGCACGCAGCCTATTGGGTCCAAGGTCGAAGGAGGTGCAAAGACACCCGATTTTTTGTTTAAATCATCTGTGTTTGGTCGGACATGGCCACATCTTATGATATGATTCTTGATTCCCTGATTGGGTTGGGAGGAGAAGATGACCCTTTTTGCTATTGTTCCTCTGTCTTGTGCGCCATGGCGCAGCAGATCCTGGTGCCCGTGCTCCAGCGCACCTTAGCGGAGTATCTGGAGGTCACGGATCACACCGTGGATCTGCGCCGGGGTGAGATCGCGCTGGCGCAGGTGGCCCTTCGCAAGCAACATGTAGCAGATGGTCTGGAAATCTCTGGGCAGGTGAGGTATGGGTCAAGAAAATCTCAAGCAGTTGTCATTGTTTTTTTGCAGATGCCATGTCTTTTACCTAGCAGCTGCTTCTTTTGGCCCGAAGTGCCAGGTGGGTCGCATTTTTGCCCGGTGGTCCTGGTCGGGGCTGTTGACACGGCCGATCCAGATTGAGGTCATGGATTTGTCTCTGAGGCTTTCGTGCGTAGATGGGATCAGCGATTCAAAGGATGCTCCAGCTGCAGCTGCGTTGGATCAGCCATCGAACAATTTCTTGGAACGCATGAAACGGAAGGTCATGGATCAACTTCAAGTCACCGTCTCCAATGTGCATCTTCGTGTAGAAGGACGGACTCCGGTGTCACGAACCAGCATGACACCGGGCCAGCTGCCGGTGGCCGGACTGGTGCTGCAAAAGTTCAGTATTGAAACGGAAGATTCGACGTTGCAACAGACCGTGACTTTCGACCATGCCAGTCTTTACCTTGAGCATGTCACACCTACGATAGCTCCCTCATTCCAAACTCCCAATGATTCAGCCGCTTGGCTGACAAAGGAAGCGGTCTCCCCCCGCTGTGTGGCCCGCCGCCGAGCTGGGCGACGCTTCGTGGATTGGAAAGGCTTGGACTTGCAGTTCGAGCTCAACGACATGAAGCTCCAGTGGACACGACGGCAGCTTCTCATGTTACTGAGCTGAAATGATTCGGTGGTTTCAATTGTTTCACAAAGCCATGAACCTGGGGCTTCCTCAGGAGGCCAAAAGGTGGCTTCTCAGGTGGCTATCACCTACCCTAGTTCACATTCTCTCGATTCTCTTCCCACGAAACAGTTCCACCTTCAAGGACCGCAGGTTGTTTGGCTTCTCAGTCAGGCTGATGTCCCTTCTGGGAGACTTCTGTGGCTCGAGTCAAGAGGTTGTGGAGCGTGAGGGGCCAGCGGCTTCTGCCGGAGAGGACTTCTTTGAGTGCGAGGAAGAGCCAGCGCCAGCGGTGGAAAAGCCCAGTCGGCCAAGTTGGTCCAACTGGTTTCGTCGCATGGCTTGATGTTGAGGGCCCCTTCTTGGAATTTTCCGGGAAAAGGGACAGTTGCCTTGTTTTTTTTACCACCCGCAAACTGAACCTGAGACTCGACCTGTGGAAGACCATTTTCTTCTTAGGTGGATTTGGGGGGTTCCTCGTGGTCGTTTGCAGGGGAGTAAATTAGCAAATAAATTGTGTTTAGATGTAAAAGTAATAATTAATGCATTACACTTTTTTACATGTATAATAGTCTTTTGTGTATGTATAATACGTAATATAAATGTGTATATGTAGTGACACATGATGACACTGAAGGAAGAATCTCATAGGTGACACTAGCTTCTCAGTTTTGATAGGCAGCCATCAGTTTTGATAGGCAGCAATGGATTTTTCACAGACAATACAATCAAAACCTTGCTTCTGCATCTCAAGCACCGTAAAAGATATATATGCATCATTACATCATTATACATCCTTCCTTGGCACTTTTGATGCCCGATCCCTGTCAGAGCGCTTGAGGGATGAGGGGAGCCCTGAACAATTTCCAATTCATCTGGATGATTGAAGTCAGGTGGACCTGTTGTTTCACCGTTTTGTTGTTTGACCGCAGTGGAGGCCCAGTTTGGGAACCAAAATCATTGCTGGCCTGGTCGGCGACCCCTGCACCCCGCTTCGTTTCGACGGCTGTGGGACGGAGCGGGTTCGTTGGTGAAGGGAAAGACAGGTAGGACGAAGCCCCAGTGAATCTAATGTGGCAACGAACGTTTTTTGATCCTTTTTTGGCGATGAACAGAACTGCCCAGAGGTTCCTGGCTGCACGAGGGGGCAGAGGTGGGCGAGGAGCTCCCAAGTAGCTTGGAAGAAAGCGAGGTGAAGATGCTCATGGAAGAGACAACCCTGAAGGATGCTGATGAGTTGACTATGTCTATCTTAATGACAGGTTTGGAGCCCTGGCAAGCTGCTTAAGGAATTGTTTTCTATCTTTGCTGGTTTGGAGCACCATGCATTGGTTCTCGGGTTCTCGCATTATCTTCCCGATGCAAGGAGATGCATGCGATCGAGAGTTGCTTAAAATGTTGGCTGGGAGGAAGAATGAACCTGAAGGTCCAGGACATGGTCTCGTCGTGAGTCGTGTTCCGTCGGTAACTCCGTTGTGTTTCTTCTACTCATGTTGCACGAACGTTGGTTGTTGGACGAAGGCGGGTACTTGGTGTTCAAGTTTTCGTCATGCAACCCGCGTTCCTTCTTTGCATGTACAATCCATTTTCCGGTCCCGTTGAGGAGCTTGATTCTTGGGACCTCAATCTGGACGTTACTGAGTGTGCGCTACTTGAGACGGGCGCTGCAGTTCCGGGCGCCGAGCAGGTCCATGTGGGCCATGCGATTGCAGGGCCACAGTCGTCAGAGCCGATCGTGATCAAAGCACAAAGAGGTGCCAATCGTGAGAGTTTGACGGACAAGACCGGGTGAAGAATCCATAGGCATGACGAAGTTCTGTTTGTTGAACTGTTCCAGGGTTGATCTGTGAAGGTGCTGAGAATCTCTTGAACCTGAGCAGCCCTACCATGGATCTCCATCTCACTCCCAAGCTCTGCCGTAGCCTGGTTTGGCTGTCCACTGCGATGACCAATGCCCTGCCGGAGTCCGAGTGTGGAGGTTCCACTGACTGGCAGGTCACTTGGAAGTTGCCCTTGGCGCTTCATGTGGGCCAACCCTGGCAGCTTCGCAGTTTGGTGACTCGGTTGGTTTGAGTCCGCGGTCCACGGTCGATCTTGTTTGGATTCTTCAGTTTAAGTGGCGACTTTCCAATTTGGTGATTATTATTTTTTTTTCGAAGCTGCTTGGCCACCCCCACTGGTGGACAGCATCATGAGGTGTCCAACTGCTGTATGTCAGGGTCTTACCAGAAGGACTTCTGCTCCGGAGAGGTGTTGATGACCATCAACCTAGACGGGCGGGAGATTTTGGAGCCCTTCCACTTGGAGTTCCAACGCTCGATGGCATCCACGTCTAGCCCATGGCGGGTGGCAGCTCAACAGCTGACGGGCACTTGCGAGGTGTCGGAGCTCGTGTCGGTGGTGCGGATGGTGAAGAGCATCATGAATGAAGTGTGCCACACGTCGACTTCGATCCCCACTGAGAACCTTCCGAACCCTCCAGAGCTAGCTGAAGTGGCTGAAGTCCAGGTGGCTTTACCTCACAACTCGTCTCCCGATCTTCTAATTTTTAGCCTGGGCGAAGTCGCATGGCGCCTCAACGACCCTTTGCTGAAAGCCTCCTTCGTGCTCAAAGCCGATGCCCTGGGGCTGCAACTGGGCACGAAGATGACCCAGGCCTCACTGGAAATGGCGGCCATACAGATGCACCTTGCAGAGGTGGGGCAACCGGGCAAAAGCTTCAACTAAAGAGTCTGCTTGGTCTACCCCTTTCCTCTTCCCAAACAGCTCCAAGTTGGGAGGGCTCCCATGGGCTCCCTATAGAGACCTGCCCCAACTGTAGCGTCCAAAGCCCGGTCCGGCTGGTGAGCCGGTCCCGTCCTACGGATCGCATGACGAGGTATTCATCAGATAAGAGTGAGCCACTTCAAAACAACAATTCCCTCACTGACGGCGGGGTTCCACAGGGAAGAGGGAGATGGGCCCTTCTTGGATCTGGGGGATAACCACCATGC